ATGAATGTTTATTAAGGGATTCAAAAAAGGATATTAAAATGATCCAATGATCTGATCTTGATTCGATTTATAAACCAAAATCTGCAATTACATTATAGAAATATACTAATTTTGGTTAGATCAGACCATTAATCCTTGATCTCATGATCCAGATCAGATCAATTTAATATCCCTAGATTCAGGTTTAATGTATTCAGATTATATATATATATATATAAACTTGTTCTTACTAGTACGATCACGTTTCTTGTAAAACATGAAATGTGAAGGGATAGTTGGAATTAACTTTATGTGTGTCACTTAATCCGAATTTTGAAAAATCTTTATTTTAGCAATAGTTGTGATCTTCATTTATTCATAAAAAGAAAATTTTACAGATTATGTATTAAATAAAACCTGAATGGAATGTGCAATAATTACGTTTAATAACATAAACAGTTATAACTTATTAAAGAGAGAATATGACGTTTGCATGAAAGCGACGATCAATCTAACTAGAAATAATAAATTCATGTAATTATTGATTACATTTTGAAAGTATGAATTAATTTAAAACTATATCTTGAATGATATGATCTGAAAAACATTAACACACTTTATTGGTTTGTAGGCTGAAGCCAGCCAAACAAGGCTGAAAACAGTGAATTTATTAAATCATACTGTAAGAGCTAGCAGTATGTTGAGACTGATATAAATAGATATAATATAAGGTACATGTACAAAGACTAATAGGACTGAAACAGTGATAATCCTGAAGATTTATCAATAGTATTGCGCTGGAAATCACTGTAATGGGCTAGGTAGAAGTTAGTTGAGCATTGTTAACGTAAATATCAGCTAGTGGTTTCTCACCTGCCGAAGCAAGCCGGCTGTTGGAATAGCAGAATCATGTGATTTTCCAAAGTTCGTGTGTTGGTGACGTGAATGTACCGTATAAGCACGAAATAACGGGCATGGGTGTTATTTCGAAATCTGATACCCCAAAAATAGCATATCCCTTAAACAGTAAGAAATTGCAGACAAATTTACCTGCAATTTTTACTATTGCAATATTACATATAGAAATTTATAAAATTTAAATTTTATATGTTCAAATTTTTATTGTAACTAACTGATCAATGCTGTAGACAGCTCCAACTTTTACTTTGCACTATTACATAAAAATTATATCATATAAATACATTTGCAAATCAACTAATATTAATTAATTTCTGATTTCTTTTAAAATTCACTAACTATCTTAAATTTTCTTAGTGCATCTCGATTATAACCATAAGAAACCTTAGTAAGAAATGTAAAATTCAATATAAAAATTAATTTTTTACTATTTAATTTTACAATTCTAAAGTAGGATTTTGACTTTGTATTCGAATAAAAAAAAAAAAGTTCATGAAATTTTATGGTTTTTTTTTGTTTTTTTTTTTTCTTTTTTTTGTTTTTTTTTTTTTTACAAGAAAAAGTAATATGTAGAGTAAATATATTAAATATATTGTTAGATACTTGTTATTAATAGTTTGATATATTGTTATTGATTGGCCATAAAAAGACTCATGTCAATTTTAGTCAATATGTGAAATGCGTAGTATGTTCGAATATATTTGGAACGAAGAGTATTAACTTCTGGAAGGGGTACAAACTTCAGAGTTTCAGAGTAATTATATACAAGCTATTGCTGTATTAAAAAATCTTCATTGGATATAATTACTGAACTCTAGTAAAATAGAGATATAGTCTATGTGATTTCAGCTAAAATAAAGATCAAAATTTGCATATTTTAGTATTTATTTACCACATTATTGTACAATCATAAGGCCATATTTTTTTTTATTCTAACTTATAATAAGAATCTTTTTTTTTAATTACCTGACCTGATCTACATATAAAACTTATTTTTTTTGCATGGTATTAATTACTATTTTCCTTTCGTGTATGATATTCTTTGAAAAAATTACCTCCATCCTTGTTATAACATAAAGATACATCACATTTAATGCAATAAACCTGAGATTGTAGCAGATTTTTAGAAGCTTTTTTATTTTTTTATTTTTTTTTACCAGATACTTGAGCTATACGCAGCTAATTCTATCTTCTTTCCATTCAGGTAAATGTCCTTCTGGGGATAACCTTAATAAAGGAAGCTCGAAATTGCTTGTTATATATTGTTTTCTTGAGAGATTAGTATTAATATTTTTAGTCAATTCTTCAACTTGACTTTTAGGTGCTTGGTTTTTTTAATAAACTAGTTTCTTCCATACTTGCACTAATTAGATCTCTTTTTGACTAATATTTTTACTATTTTTTTAAAAAATTAAATATTAATTGATAATAGAAGTATCTAATAGCCAATAAAATAAGGGCATCCAAGTCCTTCTTGCTGGCAATTGGATACCATAATACACACGAAGCTGGTTGGCTATATTTACTCCACCCATATGATAATTGTAATCATTAATTATACAGGGGATTAGTAAGTCTTTTTACTAGAAGTTTCAAAAATTGCTTGCACTTTTGTTGTATTAGTGCTTGTTTCCCGAGGCCGATGTCAAACTCTTTCAATTCTGTTTTCATTTCCAGTAGCTTCATGAATAGTAGTTAATATAGTTACTAGCCCATTGCCCATCTATAAAATTGCTAAAACTTCACCAAATTACTCCTGATAATGTATCCAAATTTAATTTTTTATCTGTTTTAAGTATTTTTAGAAATTTCGCACTATTTGTTCGTATGGTTTCACATATCTTAAAATTATTATTTCATAAGTATTGAAAAAGATTGATAGATGAAAAATAGTTATCCATATATATGTTAAAGGATTTATTTAAAGGTAATTGTGAAATGAGATGATAAACCTTATTTCCGACTTTATTTAAGTTTGGAATTTTTTTTACTTCAAGATTATTTTGAACACATGAAGTAAAAATAAAGGTATATATATAGCCTGTATCACAAAGAGAAAGGATTTTATAGCCTTCTGAAGTAGGCTTATTTTTAATTCTTACTATATGAATACTTCGACCTGAAAATTGTACAATTATTTCATCAATTGATATATTGGTTGCCAGAATACAAATTGATTTAGAAATTGATTGAATGTGACTTGCCAATGAATCTAATTTGGAGTACCAATATAAAAGGGGAATTGTGCAATCTGAAATATGCATAAAGCATTTAATCTAACAAAAAAAAAAAAACAAAAAAAAAAACAAAAAAAAATGAATTTCTAAATAAATTTAATAACAATTTGGTAAAATATTTATTAGAAAAAATATTGAACATACTTGTTCAAAATGAAGACAAGTCATAAACGTTGCTATTTTATATTCTGGAAATCTGCTATCCATATTCCAATAATATTTAATACTAAATAATTTAAAAATACCTGTATATATTAATATTGCAACCAAATTTTAAATTCTCCTACTGTTAACTCCTTCTATTTATGTCCCTCTCCCACACCTTTTAAGTAAGCATATTTATTAGTATTTTGAACTATCATATTTAATTGCTCAAATAAAGAAGATTCAAATTTAGTATTAAGTATAATATAAATTCATGTATCGGTTTTAAATGCTTAAGTGTATTAAAAAAAGGGGGTGAAGGAATTTGTTGAATTTTAGTTTCACAAGTTTGACTATGACTTTGACCATGGCCACGGCCATAGCCATACTACAGCCACAGCCACGGCCATGATCATGGCTTTCATCACAATCATAATCTCTGGTTCTTTCAACTTGAATTTCTTGAATATTTCTACTTTGATTATCATCGTTTTCATTATTGTCTAATTCATTTTGCTCACGATTTTTATGAATACTACGTGATAGCTCTACAATATACACTTCATCATCATCCTGTTCATTAAATATTAAAGTTTTCATCGTGAAATAATAGATAACGAAAAAAAAACTCAATTATTTATTAAAAATATCATATGTTAGAAAAAAGATAAGAGATTCTTAAGATAGTTAGTATCGCGCTTTTTTTAAATATATAGGGCGTAATAAACTAATTAAATATGTTAATCGAATGTTTATCAATATCTATCTAGAGTGGAAAAACAATTGGCTAAATTTGTAAAAAAATATTAAACGATCTACGTCTAAATTTGGAAATTGCAGGCAAATTTGTCTGCAAAACCATTTAAGAGATAGTATCTTGAATTGGCACACATGCGTATCCCGAATTAATGCGCATCTGGTAAAACTTGCAATTAATTAGTGTGACAATTATTGTTATCTATATAATAAAAATTTACTGAATGGTTATTTTGCACTTAGATAAGTTTTTTGATTTTGGTAATGAGCGATTATGTAATATCTTGTTAATAGTACTGATATTACTATTTTATTTTTGCATTTCAGACAACCTAGATATTATATTACATTATTTAAGATTCAATAGTAGTTACTTTAAGCATTTTTAAAATATTTGCTATAGATACACAAGCTTTGCTATTAAATAAACCATTTCAATATTTTCATCTGGCTAATACTTATTTGCTTTTTGAGTTGTATTTTAAAATTTTACATAGATTTTTGCAATAATATTGATTAATATCAAACACTTTATTATGCATTATAATAATAGCGAGAAAAAGGTAAAAAGTGAGTTAATTGCTAAGTAATTATTTCATCTATTAATATGATATAGTAATAAGAATTCTCATTCTAACCTTTATTAACATATGGATACCACAATCAAAAATTTAAGAAAAAAAATTGAAAATTTAAAACAAAGTTAAAAAAAATCAAAAGTTAAAATCCTGTTATTTATAAAAAAAATACTAGTATATACATTATAACCGATAATATCATTCTTTTGTCAGATAAAAATGATGCTATAATTTCATCATCCTTTTCAGCTTAAACTCCATTTGACAAATTGTGTGGAAATATATTTTATTGCACTATGGTGGCTATTCGCAGGCTATCAGAAAATATGTTTTTTTTTATTAGTAATTCATACTATAAAGTTATAAATTTCATATCTTTATTACCTTCTCAATCATCAATATTTATTGTATCTTCAAAACCAATACTTATATTTTCAAAATCAGTATCTATCATATTTTTGAAATCATTATCCAACACATCCTCATCAAGTTTATCAGGACTCGATTCACTGCCTAAATTCTCAGATTCATTACTCTGTTCCTCTTCATCAAAAATTACTTCATCCATATAATTTGCAATAATGGCTTGGAGGCGACTTGACATTTTAAAATCTTCACTACCATCAGGGTTAAGCATAAGTCCAGATGCTTTAAATAATCTAATCAATATATCTGAACTAATTTCTCTCCATGTTTCGAAGACCTACTCACAAACTACTTTGTATGAGGCTTTTTTGTAGTTTCCTTTTGCAGTAAGCTCACCTTTTCCTTTGCCCATCCACTTTTTCCATCTTTGGGTTATCCTATTCTTAAAAGGGTTGTTTACTGAAACTTCAGGTGGTTGCAAAACACATGTTGTTCCACCAAGAATCTCAACAACATCCAAGCTATGGTTCCTCAAAGTTGAATTGAATCAAATATTTTGTCAATTTGAATTTGATTTGATTTGAAATTTCTGTATTTGAATTTGATTTGATCAAAT